CACCACCCACCCACTCCCGTCCCTGCCCTGGGGGTCTCGGTGCTCCTCGAGGCTCTGGGGAAGGCAGTGAGGGGTTGGGGGCTGTCCCCTTCTCCCCACAGCCAGTCCAACCAGCGCCTCTGCCTGTCCCTGCAGCTTCTCCACCGTCATGCACCAGACAGTGAAGGAGTTGTCCCCCAAGTGCGAAGTGACCTTCCTGCAGTCGGAGGACGGCAGCGGCAAAGGCGCCGCGCTCATCACGGCCGTGGCCTGTCGCATCCGCGAGGCCGGGCAGCGGTAGAGGGGGAGCTCTGCCCACCAGCTTGGTTTCAGCAGAACAGGACGGTTCCTCCCCGACCCCTCCCTCCCTCGGTGCACACACTCACACACCCCTCCCCTCCGAGCAGATTTGTAGCTTTACTTGTTCTCCGAGACGCCGCGGTGGGACTGGAGATGCCGTGGGCTCTGTACAAAGTGTTGTCGTAGGAGTTTCCTTGCATGCCATAAAACCACCTGTCGAGTAAAGCTCACAGTGTCTTTTGGCTTCTCCCTGCATTCCCAGGCAGAGCTGGAGCTGTCCCACCCGCAGCCTCCTCCATCACACCCCAGCTCTCCTCCCACCCCCCCAACCTCCTGCCCCTCCCCTCGTAGGGATAATGCTCAGATAATTAAGACACTGCATTGTCACTTTAATGGTACCTATTTATGTTTGTCGAGTCGTAGGTGTCCATGCTGTAGAAGCAAACCTCTAAGATTGGGCTAAAGACCTCCACTAGTCTTTTACCCTGATCAAGGCTGTATTATTTCCATGAAAGTCATGGTAACTCTTAAAGCACAGGGTGCAGAATTCCAACGGCGTGGGCCGAGGCTGCACTGGAGGTACCACGTACCTCCCTTGGTGAGCAATATTAGAGAACCTGCTGGAGCCGGCTCAGAGGGGCCCCTCGACCTGCTCCAGCAGAGCACGTGCCTGGAAATAATTGGGGACTCAGGGTCTAATCCCATTTCCTGACCTCTCCCCCACGCCCCAAGTAGAGTGTAGGAGCGTGGCATGTACGTAGGGTCGCGTTACACCCCTGACACCACTCCCCCTTCCTTCCCCGGTGCACGTGTGGGCACGAGGGGCTGCCATGGGTCAGTGTCCCCCCCGGAGCCCCCCACTCGTGGCCGTGTGTCTGCCCCCGGCGCGGTGAGTCCGGTTTGCTTTGTGTCTGTGAAATAGTTCTGCGGCTGCAGCCTTTAGGTGGCACCTGGATTTATACACTGTATATTTATGTTTTAAGAGATCTGACGTCTTTTTATGTACATAGTCTGGGGGGGTTGTATGGCTTAGTTTTAACATCACCTTTTCATGTCATTGAAGAATGGTACAGAGTAATTATTTTCTTTTTTATTTTTCTCGTGTAATTTTTTTTTTTTTTTAATTTAAAATTTTCTTGGGGTAGAACTGGAGGAAGAGACCCAAATTCCTGAGGATGGCTGTACAAAAGGTTTGGGCATTCTGACTTTATCACCAGGACAAAAGGGAAAGCAGAAAGCCAGGGAGCAGCGGGGCCCTGTGGTAATGGTGACGCTGCCGGGTTTAGGCTGGGTTTAACCCTAAGAGAGGTTTTATTTTGTCCCCTGCCCTCCCCAGCTGTGCTCTGGAAGGTCATGTGGGTGGGTGAGATGACCCCAGGGCTCTGCAGGGCTCTCGACCTCCTGTCACCGTCCTGGCTGAGCACCGACGGTGCCCGTGGGATCTCAGTGAGGCACCACGAAGCCAACCCCACCTCCTCGGGGAGGTGACAGGAATTGGTGTCACTTCATTCCCATTTGACATCCTCAGGGCTGTCTGAGTGTCCCCAGGGACACAGCATCACTTGTGTGCCACAGCAAAACACAGAGATTAATTTTTGCCAACATAAAAGTCTGGATGAACTAAACCCTGCAGGGTCTCTGCCCCGGGGAGCAGAGGCCAACAGAGGGGGGGGGTTCCTGTAAATATTTAGCAGAAGATAATGAAATTCCAGTGATGTACAAAAAAAGATAATAACTAATAATCCCCACAAACAGCCCTTCAGATTGGAGGATAGAGTTTTTGTCTATTTTTATGTATATTTTTATACTGCTTGGGGTAACCTCATTACCAAAAGTCTCTCTTCTGTGTTGGGGGTCAAGTTCAGTAGCACAATTTTAAAGCAAAATTACTCTTTGGGGCATTTTAAATGCTTATTTTTTTATAAGCCTCGAGGCAATAATAACAAATAAAACCTGTGTATAGAAATGATGTAAGAAACCAAGTTTAGTGGAAGTTTTAGAAGGTGTCAAATAAATTCTTGAAGGATGATACAGAAATCCTCTAATCTGGTACCAAGCAGTTTTGTGTGATTTTTTTTCAGAAAACCAGCATTTTGCCTACTGAAAAATGGAAACAGAGATGTTTTTAGCTGCTGAACTGTGCAGAGTTGCATTAGTGGCTGTTTTTACTCTTAGCCAGTCGTTCCCCTTCTGAAATCTGTAGTGTTTTCATTGGTTAGTGAGAGGAATTCTATACAACAGTAGTTTCGGGGCAGAATGGGAAAGATTGGGATCTGAGCAGCCCTGCTTTTGATTCAGGCTTCGATCACTGGAGCAGGTGACTGACAGGGTGAGAGGGAAAGGTGGGGAGCTGAGTTTGGAGCAGGGTCACCACAGTCCCCTCACCTGTGTGGGGTGAAGGATGGGCTGGAGAGGGGCAGGAAGGATCAGCCCTGAGCTCACAGGGCAGGGGGGTGGGTTTTTGGCTGGGTTTGGTCAGAGGGACACATCCCTGGATACCCACCTGGATATCCAGGAGAATCCCTTAAGGCCAGGAAGCTTTTGCTTTGACTCAGAAGGAAGCAGGGCCTGGAATGTTCCCAGTTCAAAGCAATACTTGAAGCGTTAGAAGACCCCCGTGTCCCCTGGGAGCAGATCTGCCCTCCAGGGCTGGCAGGAGGGGCTGTGGGACGACCTGCAGGGATCTGTGCTCCCACAGATCCTGCAGGGATCTGTGCTCCTTGTTGTGCCCCCGGGGACGAGCACCGGGTGTTTCCTGTACAGTCTGACTGTAGTGGCTGGGACCTCATGCCATGGGATGTTCTGTGAATGTGTTAAAATGAAGAAGGGAAGATTAAATCCTAATTATTGATATGAAGGGAAGATCAAATCTGTAGGGACAGACGGACAGACTGCTCAGACTGACTTGCCCAGTCTGTGTCTTCCCTCCAGGAAGAAGTGCTGCTTTGTGGATTTAGGATGGCTTTGTTTTACTTGGTTGTTCCCATTTGGATGCATTTTCTTTGCACTCCTGGTGTTCCAGCACGTTCCCAGGCAGGCAGGCAGCAGAGTCTCTGGCCTTTCCTCCCTAGCAATTCTCTCCTCGTTGGTACTTTGGCCAGGATTTTATGGGGGTTTTAATATATATATATAGTTATATATAAACACAATCAGCATATACACAAATATATATATAAACACAACCAGCAAATTATCGAGCCTGGCAAGTGGAATTTACCTCTTCCTGGAGTCCAAGGCTGCTTAGGGAGAAGCTCATGTTCTGTCACCCAGGGTGTGCAGTTCCTATCTGTGGGCACAGACCTCTGGCCCCGGGTGCAGTTTGACCCCAGATAAGCGGTGCCTGCTCTCCCTTATCAGACAATCCAAACCAGCTGGCAGAGACAAGGGGGTGAAAGGTCCGAGTGCACGGGAGGGGAGAGGTGTAAAACTGTGGCAGCAACCACCGTGCAAGGGTGATACCAGGTAACAACAAAATCAACCGGGCTGGGGGAGCCCTGAGCCCCCAGCCCAGCACAGCCCCCTCCCCTCTAGAAGGCGAGGGACAAACCTGCTCCTGGCACATCATTGGCTTGCTCTGGTAAAACAATGAAGGCAAAAAGAGGCAATTCCTGCTCACAAGGGAAATCTGGAGAGAGGGAAATTCTCTGCCTTGTGACATCCTGAGCAGTCTGAAACCTTTCTGGCCTGAAGCAAAGAAAATGCATCTGGATGTGGGCGCTGGCTCCGCGGGCAGGGGAGTCATAAAGCCAAAGACTGTGTGGCTGCAGAAACGAGTGCTGTAGATTCACCTGATGTTGTTCTTTCGTGTTTACAATATTTATTTTTAGCAATTGACTGCAATGATATTATATATAGGCTTCCTTATTTTTGTACTTTTCATACCGTTCCCCCGAGTGTGGTGTTTGTACTGCCCATGTCCCCCGGCCACCACTGCTGCTCCTGTCAGTGACAATAAAGAGAGAAAAACCACCACCCACTGCAGGAATTGTGTGTGCTTCGCTTCCTGGGCTCCCCTCACCCCCCCTGCAACCCCTGAGGAAGGGTCCCCACCCCACCCAAATCCCCGATCCTGGTCCCTGGGAAGAGGGAGGAAGCTGGGAAGGGGGTTGTTTCCTTGCACTGACAGTCCCCCCACAGCCAGGAGGGCAAGGGAGGGCACAGGACACTCAGGGATAAGGGAGGGGGTTCTTCCTGTCTGGAAAAGGATTCCAAGAGGAGTTTCCTAATCCAGTCTCATGCCCTCATCACACTGGAGGGTGGTGGGTGTCCAGCACAGGACTCCTGCCCAGGGTGAGCAGGGCAGGGGGGCCCTGGGATCCAGGGGAATCCTGGGATCCAAGGGGGTGAGGGCAGAGCAGGATCAGGCCCTGAATGGGGGTGCAGAGCCCTGCAGAGTTCAACCCACCCCCACAGCTCAGACTGCAGCCCTGGTGCTGAAAACAACCTGGGGGTGATGTCCCTGTTCCCCTCTGCCATTAACCAGCAGCCCCTGCTGAGTCCACTGAGTCCAGGATGGCTTCAAAGAGTTGGTACGTCCAGTTAAAGCCAGAATTAAGGGTCTAAATACAATAAATTTGATGCTGTAGCAGTTGAACACCTTAAAATGCTTCTGCCCTGCTGCCAAAGCCATGTGACACGAGATCACACAGAGGTGCTGAATCCACAGGCTGAATCCAACACAGAAAGCTATTCCCAGCAGGAAAGGACAGACAAGGGCAGTATTCCACTTGAAATCATTTATTGACAAGTTGTCATGTTTTTCCATCTTGCCCAACACATTTTTATCCTTGTTATATAGTACAAATGGTTTTATATTTTTCTGACATTAAAAAAATAGGCTAAAGAGGCAAAAATTCCCAGTTGAAATCCAAAAATCCTGCTGTAAGAATTCAAAATTGCAAGAGACAAACATAAAACCCAACAAAGACCAAAGAGAGTGTGCCATGACACGACTCATCAAACCCACTGGAGAGGAATCCCTTGTTCCCAGCTCTGCCTTTGGATCCTGTGACCTTGTGAACTGGTGTGAAGTTGGTGTTCCACATAAAAGGCACTCAAAGGTCACAAGTTCCTGAGCTAACACGGGATGTATTCCCAAGGTAACAGCTAAAACAAGCCACAGAAAATGTTTAAGAACTGGTATTTGGTTTGTGTAAGTAGAGTCAGAACCCCAGCTGAGAGTTGCTGCTGCTGGGACTCAAATGATGGTGAGGAGTATTTGCAGTACATGGAAAAAAAAAATTCACTTAAGAACATCCTTATAAGCAAATTAATGTGCTAAAAAAGAGAGAAAAATTGGTTGCAATGTTGAAACAAGACTAAGAATGAAATGTCTGCTTGTGAGCTGCCAAAAAGGCTCAAAACCAAGCAGGTGGGAAAGGCTGTGCAGTTAAATAACCAAAGTCGAGAGGCCACATTTACACAGATTATTTGGCCCTAACAGAAAAGGACCAGAAAAATAAGCAGAATATGGATCTGGTATTTACAGATCAGTTATTAAAAAAACCCCAAAACAACAAATAAAACAACCCAAACCCACACATCCTACAGCATGTGCTCAGAATCCAACAGTGAAGTTCCCAAGTTGATCCACACAAACTCCCCATGTCCCATTTGGCTCAGTTTTCACCCAGAAGAACCCAAGAGTCACACTTCCCAAACATGGACCAGCTGCTGCCCGAAGCTGCAGAGCAGAGCTAAGGTTAGAACCAGAAGGATGCCTGGGCCTGGCCTGTCTGGTTGCTGCTCTTGTCTCCAGAGCTGCAGAGGACACCCCGAGGCCGGGGATGTTTTTGGGTCTGAGGCCTGGCTGTCCCAGCTCGGGGTGGCACTGGGGTGGGGAAGCAGCTCCAGGGGGGCAGAGGGGCTGCCAGGGGCCTCCAGAGGGGTTGCCAGGGGCCTGAGGGGCCTCAGGCTTCCAAATTCTCCAGCAGGGCCTCGCCGTCCGCCCTCTTCTCCGGGGTCGTGTACAGGAAGTTGCAGCAGATGTAGAGGGGGAAGGTCAGGAGCCTGCTGTCCAAATTCATCACAATCTGCTCCTGCAAGCACATGGGACGTGGGGCAGGGGGACCAAGAGCACAGGGACAACACTCACTCTGTAGTTAATGACTGTGGATTAAAGTCAGAATATAAAAATAAACCCAAGACAGCAATTCCCCTTCACCTCCAGCAGATGGTTTATAGCATTGGCACTGATGAGACACTCTCAGGCTGCCCACAGCCCCAGAGCTCCCAGGCCTCTGCAGCACAGGGAACAACCACAGGAAAGCAAATTTACCCTCCAGCACTCTGGGGAGAAAAGGGCAGTTTTCAGTTTCGTGAGATTTCACCAACCAGGCAACACCCAACAGTCTGTATTTTAAAGTAAACTTCAGTTTGTGGGTAGGAATTTTTGGGTTTCACTTCGGGAACTGGTTTTGGGGTAGCAAAATTGAAACTTTACCCTACAGTGAGGATGGCACTGCCAGGGAAAGGTTTTGTGTGTTCTCACTACCTCCATATCACTGCTGGCTGGGATCTCAGAAACTTGATTTACAAGTCTTGCACTTGCTTCAGTAAATTCTGCTGTCAGCAATGGGTGGGAAAGGGCACGTGCTCTAAGGAAGCTCTGCTCCTCTCTGGGGCTTGTACTGATTTATTTAATGCAGTAATAAATCCAACCCTTGAAACAACATGTAGACATTCTTTTAACTCCTCAGCTTACAAAGGAGTCTTTGAATGAACTCCAAATTTGCCTCTAAGTAAGGATCCTGCTGGACAGATCACCCAGAGGGGTGATGTCAGCAGTGCTGGAAGGTTGGGAGAGCAGCAGGTCCAGACCAGGGCACTGGCAGCACACAGCAGCACCATGGGCACTCATTTCACTCATAGGGGAACTCATTTCATATTATCAACACTAGTGAAGCCCACACTACCCCACTCTAGTTCCATTTCACAAATTAGCCTTAATCACCCACTACCTCTGACAGGGACACTTGAGATTCCACACAAGCAACAACAAGAACAGCAACTCCCCTTCAAGGGCACTGGTGGTTTCTCTGCATTTTTTTCATGCCTTGGACTCCACAATTCAAGTTCGACAGCTCAAAAACCCAGAGACACACCTGGTCCTTCTCGAGGGTGAGGATCTGATAGCCCGTGGTCCTGCTGCAAACCATCTTCCCGCTGCTGTCGAAGGAGGCCAGACGTAACCTGGGGGACAAGGGCAGGGACCTGGCTCCAGAACACCCCGTGTTCCCAGCACGGGGAGCTCCTCAGAGGGGACAGCCCACGTCTGAAGGTAAGCAGTGAGCTGCAGTGAGCCCGGCCGGGCAGGGCTCACCGTACCTGAAGGCGATGCTGCGCCGGGGCTGCAGGCTGACGGAGCCGCTGCACGGCTGGTTCAGCGTGTTGCGCTTGAAGATGATGTAGCGGTTGGTGTAGGTGACCAGCAGGTCAAAGCCGAAGTTGAAGCCAGTCCAGCGCCAGCAGTACTGCAGGACAGGAGGGAGAGCCAAAGGAACCAGCCTGAGCAGTGGCTGTGACAGGGATGGTGAGTGTCACAGGAACGGTGACAGCCACTGCCCCAACAATGGATGGTGAGTGTCACAGGAACAGTGACAGCCACTGCTCCAACAATGGATGGTGAGTGTCATGGGAATGGTGACAGCCACTGCCCCAACAATGGATGGTGAGTGTCACAGGAACGGTGACAGCCACTGCCCCAACAATGGATGGTGAGTGTCACAGGAACGGTGACAGCCACTGCCCCAACAATGGATGGTGAGTGTCACCAGAACAGTGACAGCCACTGCCCCAACAATGGATGGTGAGTGTCACCAGAACAGTGACAGCCACTGCCCCAACAATGGATGGTGAGTGTCACAGGAACGGTGACAGCCACTGCCCCAACAATGGATGGTGAGTGTCACCAGAACAGTGACAGCCACTGCTCCAACAGCCCACCCTGGGAATGTGACCCCAGGCTGCAGAGATGGGGGGATTCAAGGGGCCCTGCCAACATCTGCCTGAAACACAAGATACTTGGTAGGGAACTGGCTGGCAGCCAGAGGACTGTGAGAGCAGCTGAGTGTCAGCTGCCTCCCTGACAGACAAAAATACACGGCACAAGTGCTGATAAAACACTCTGCACTGGGAAGGGGCTGCTCTGTGAGCAGCACTCACTGCAGGCCCCAGCCATGCCCAAAGCACTCCTTGGAGCACAACTTCCCGAGGTTAAGTGACTTCAGAGGGGAAAATTCATGTTTCCTGTTTTTTCACAAGATCTATTACCTAAAGACACAGATGTGTACGTGGAACACAGAGGTTCTGGCTGTGATTATTACACATTTTATCTAGAGAAGTTCCTTTTCCAGCTAAAAGGAAAATGATCAGAGCTCTATTTACTGCCTGTATGTTTCAAGTCTCAGACGACAGTCTCACATGAAAATAGTTTTCCCAAACACTGTCTCAGTTGCAGCACAAGAACACCATGAAACACCAACCCCTCACTCCTTGCAGAGACAGCACGTGTTTCCATCCTTCTGGGGAGAACAAAATGATTTCTCTCTCCATGACATCTTTTGGATGCAGTTTGACAGTGGGGGCCTGAGTGTTTTGGGAATGCCTGACACACCTCAGCCTTTGCCCCACTTACATCACCGTCCTTGGCGAGTTTGCGACCACACCTCATGCTGTTCCCTTCCAGTTCCTCTTTATTTATTTCTTGGGGCCTGAAAAAAATAAAAGAACATCTTTAAGGACACTTCAACAGCTTTGTATGATACCTTAACGTGGGAAAGATGAACAGACTGGAGTAAACTGGTCTGACCACACGATCACGGAATACCCTGAGTTGGAAAGGACCCACAGTCAACACTTCTCTAGCAGAGGTGTGACCAGGTGAGCTCTCAGGGTCCCTTCCATCCTGAATTGTCCCATAAACATCCAACTACTCTATAAAACTGCCACACAAACCAGGTTGTGAGACCTCAGTTAGGCAGGACTTTTATAACAGAACTTTTCCAGATAACAAAGCTATAGCTGTTATCTCCAAGCCTCATAAAGACCCAAGTCCTTTTTAAACACATCAGTCCCATCTCCCAGGCCCAAGCAGAAAGTGGTGCTGGGGCACAGCTGCAGGGCCCTGCAGAGCAGCAGTGCAGTGAAGCAGCAGCCACGAGACACTGAGAGGTTTCTCAAGGGGCTGGTTACACAACTTGCCTAGAAAACCCTCTTCCCTCAGTGCTCCTGACGTGCCAGAGCCTCTCTGTTCTGCCATCCCACACCAACAGCAGCTCCGTCCACCCAAGTCTCCTCTGGTGCTTCCACACGTCCAGCAGCCCTGCAGAGCCACAGGAGGGAGAGCAGCCCCAGCTTTCCAGTGGTGTGGTACTCACTTCACACACAGTGACTTCATCAGCCAACCAACCTCCACTGCCAGACAGTCTTGAAGTGACACCAGGCCAAGCTGTATAAACCCCAGAGACATCAACCCCCCACAGGTCAAACTACACACCTGCAAGATCCAACAACATCCTCCAAGCTCCACAAGCCACAAGAAATGCAGCATCTGTTCTCTTCTACTGCTCACACCCCCCAGGAACTGGCAGCTAAAGCTTTTATGAACAGAGCCTGGGTCTTTTCTCTCCATTTCTGCAAAAACCAACCCTGGGAGATGAAGTGTTTTATGAACAGGTTAAGCACATAAACTCATCACAGTAACCAAATTCACCCAAGAACCTCCCGTGTGCTTTTCCACATCTTCCAGCTGAACTGGTTCTGTGGCTGACCTAAATGCAGCAGTGGTGATAAAGGATTTATTTCTGTTTAAATAGTGACAAATTTCACAAACATTAGTCCATAATGCTCAGACAGACATGGCATCCCCCTCCCCACCCCTGGAGCAGCCTCAGATGATGCAAAACTTCAGCTTTAACCACTTCCATCAGCTGCCACACAGTGAACAGTCGAGTTATCCTATTTCCTCCTCAAACACTGCCAAAGAGACTGTTAGAGTAGAAACTATCCAGCCCTGCACTCGAAAGATCTGTCTGGCTTCTGCCACAGAACACATGTTTAATTAAAAATGATCCACTTTAGTACAAGTAGACCTTGAGCAACTCCAGTTCCAAGCCACAAACTCCAGTGTTACATTAAAACATTCACCAATCCTGAAGAGCAAATAAAATGTTTAGTCCTTTTAAATGCAAACTTGTCAAGTAGAAGAGAAATACTTTCTTCTCCCCCTCCCTGAAGTTACCAAGAGCAAACACATGCCACGTGTCCAAGCAGTGCCATTTCCATGCTGGCAGTGTTGGGATGAGCAGGTGCAGTGACACTCTGCTCCGGGGGGGGTGGAAATAGAGCCCTAGTTCAGCTCAGGGGAGTCAGAGTCACATCTTGTTCCGATTCCCAAGGCTGTTTCCTTGTCTCTGAGGGAAAAAATGTGCCGGGATATCAACACAGGCAGCAGGTGTGGGAGGAGGAGTGGCAGAGCTGGGTAAAGGATGGGCTTATAAAACCTTAATTCTTTTCTTCCAGCTACAGGTTGGACAAACGGCCAAGACATCTGTGTTAACACAAAGGAACAGTTGCACGGGTTCCCTTCTAAGGCACAAGTTGCCAGTCCCAGGCCTCTGATGCAGGGTGGCAGCACAGGAGAGCTCCCAGGCCCCCAAACCCCACGGATCTCCTCAGAGACTGTGTGCTGTGCACGAGGTTCATTGCCTGTGCTGACATTTCTGGGTTCCACTGTCTTTAAAAACATCTTAAAAAATCCCAGACTGCAAAAGGGAAAACTAGACAAGAAAAACACTCTACTCCTTCCAAGAGCCACTGAAACCCTCAGCTGCAGCTGAACATGAAAGCTGCTCTTTCCCAAGCTGGATGATCCCCATCATCCCCACTGCAGGCTGTGGGAACTCACTTTACCAGCAGCTCACATATCCTCTGGCTGACAATTCTAATGCTCCCACTGCACTGCAGTGAACTACCAAAACACACCCAAATCAGCAAATACCTGGTGTCAGAATTTTGGTGACTTAATGCTCACTTCCCCAGGAACTGTGGTTCCCCACGAGCCAGGAGGGTACATTTGTCTGCTCCCAGATGCAGTCACAGCAGCAGTGCAAAAGTCTTCCCAAGAAAACACCACATCAGAAACAAGCTATGGCACCCAAGATTAATCTTTAGGAGTTGAATATGAGAGTCACAACTCTGTATTTCACCTCTACTGTTTCCCAGAGCACTGCTGCTGAAGAGAACCACTTCTTAAAGATCTTGACTATTCTTCAGATCACAGTTTGGGGGATTTTTTACACTATTACATGATAACATCAAAAGGAAGCAATTAGGGAAATATTTCCTATGTAACACATAACTGAGCTATGGAGCCACACCACAGGGTGTTGGGGCTAAAGCACAAGCTGTTTCAGAACAGAACTGTATGTATTTAAGAACAGTTCCACTGGCTGTTGGTTGGTCAGTAATGATCCAGCCAAACCCTCCACCTGAATAATCCTGAATTGCTACTGCCGTGGAAGTACAGCAAGAGAACAGGGAAGACTTTCACCTTTAGGGAAGATGGGAGATCTGTAACTGAGCACTGCTGAAAAAGACTGTGAAAAGGGTTGGAGCAAGAACACAGCCTTGTTTCACACCATTCTTTATTAGAAAGGGCTCAGAAAGTGCATTGCCATATCTGACTTGGCCGTGCTGATCCTCATGGAGTGCGATGATCATTTTAAGGAATTTAGGGGGACAACCTAAACGTTCCAAAATCTGCCACAGACCTCTTCTGCTCACAGTATCAAAAGCCTTGGTGAGGTCGACAAAGGTTACATAGAGACCCTTGTTCTGTTCCCTACACTTCTCTTGCAGTTGTCTGAGGACAAACACCATGTCTGTGGTGCTCCTGTTGGCTCTGAAACCACACTGACTTTCAGGGAGAATTCCTTCTGCTATAGTGGGTATTAGTCTGTTCAAGAGTATTCTTGCCAGGATTTTGCCAGCAATGGAGAACAGAGTAATACCACGGTAATTTGAGCAATCTGATTTAATTCCTTTCTTCTAATACAAAGTGTTCTTGCTCCAACCCTATTCACAGTCTTTTTCAGCAGGATGCTCCAAAGGGCCATGGCAGACCTCGAGGATCAGGATGGGATCTACATTCGATACCGTTCTGATGGAAGCCTCTTCATCCTAAGGCAGCTGAAGGCCCACACCAAGACCTTAAACCATCTTGTCCAGGAGCTGCTTTATGCTGATGACGCCGCCCTTGTTGCCCACACAGAAGCAGCTCTGCAGCGTTTAACATCCTGCCTTGCTGAGGCTGCTGAGCTCTTTGGGCTGGAAGTCAGCTTAGAGAAGACAGAAGTTCTCCATCAACCTGCACCTCAGGAAATCTTCCATCATCCCCACATCACCATTGGCAAATCAGAGCTCAAATCAGTCCAGCAGTTTAATTACCTGGGTAGCCTCATCTCCTCGGATGGTGAGATTGATGGGGAGATAGATAACAGGTTAGCAAAGGCTTATAGTGCTTTTGGAAAACTCCATAAAAGAGTATGGTGTAATAAACACTTGAAGAAAAGTACAAAGATCAGTGTTTACAGAGCCATTGTGCTGTCTACTCTTTTATATGGGTCCAAATCATGGGTCATCCACCGCCACCACCTGCGACTCCTGGAACGCTTCCATCAACGCTGCCTCCGAACAATCCTAAACATCCCCTGGTCAGATGATGTGACCAATCCATCTGTTCTAGAACAGGCAGCAGGCACAAGCATTGAGGCCATGTTGCTGAGAACACAGCTGGGCTGGGCAGGGCACGTCTCCAGGATGAAGGACCAACCACCCCCTCCCTAAGATCCTGCTTTATGGGGAACTTGCCACCGGCTGCTGCAAGAGAGGAGCCCCAAAGAGGAGATACAAGGACTGCCTGAAACAACATCTCAGCCTTGGCCATATTGATCATCAGAACTGGTCTGCTCTGGCCTCCAGTCGGGGGGTCTGGAGACACCCCATCTCTAACGCTGCTGATGCCTTTGAGAACGCAGCAGGGTCACCCCTGAGGAGAAAAGACAAGGCAGAAAGAATCGTGTCTTGCTGAATATTCCACCTGAGGAGTCTTTCTGCTGTGCCTTTTGCAATCGGACATGTCTATCTTGTATTGGCCTCTTTAGCCACCAGTGTGCTTGGAACAAACGTGGGGAGAGCCCTTCCCAAATCTTCGTTTGCGAAGCCCGGCCATGATGATGATTGAACTGAACACTGCCCCAACCCACATGGCCCCTGGTTCAGATCAGGTCAGTGGTTCTCACACCTTCCAGCCTGTGATCAGTCAGTGAACTCTCCTGTCACAACCCAACCTGTCCATCTCCACACGCTGGGCTGACACAGCTTTGGGAGAAATAAACCACTGGGTTTGCTGGTTTTTGGAAGGTTACAGACATTTTGCAGCTGCCTGACCTGGCATTTATTCTCCACAAAGCACTTTAGGAACCAGGAGAGAAGAGAAAGACAGGGACAACTCCCCCAGCTGCATTTTGCAACAGTTCTGGTGTTTGAAAAGAGCTCAGGGGACTTGGCTCATGGCAAAGAGCAAGCAGGAGGCAGGGGAACAGCTGGGGGAACACACACACGTGTAACACACACTAATCACACACAACCCACTGCCAGGCACAGGCTCAGCATCCCAGACACCACTCAGGGCTTACACACAGGACAGCCCAGCCCAGCCCAGCCCTGGGGAGGGCATGGAAACACCCCCTACACATGGGAGCTGGCAGGGAATTCCACAGTCAGAGAATCATGGAATACGTTGAGCTGGAAGAGACCCACTAGGATCATCGAGTCCAGCTCCTGGCCTTGCACAGACACCCCAACAATCCCACCCTGTCCCTGAGAGTGTTGTCCAAACCCTCCTGGAGCTCTGGCAGCCTTGGGGCTGTGACCAAACCCTGGGGAGCCTGGTCAGTGCCCAACCACCCTCTGGGGGAAGAACCTTTTCCTGAGATCCAACCCAAACCTCCCCAGCTCAGCTGCATTTCCTCACTGCCAAGGCAATGCCAACACTGTGCAGCATGTGGTCTAGGAAGGAGAAAAGATGGGATATAAAACTGCAGGATTATGGAGAGAATGGGGTCTCAGCAGTGGAGAAGGATGCCCTGCCTGAGGAAAGCTGGAGAGCTGGCAGAGGAGAGATGTCAAACACAACCCTGAGGGGGAAAGGCTGTGAAAGGAGAGGGGAATGGGGGAACAGGTGACAGGATGCTGGGCCCTGCTGGGTGCTGGGCCCTTGCTCACTGCCTGGGGGGCCAGGATGGGAGGGGCAGGAACAAAGGTTACTGTGAAGTTATCCCTGCACAAACAAAAAAGGATGGATTGCCTCTTGCACCAACACAGTTCCACTGCCCCCCAGCCTCCTGCCCACCCAGCCCAGGACAGAAATGACCCTTTCGCAGCCTCGACACTCATTGCAAAGCTAAGTGTTGGTGAGAAGCATTAACCAACATAACAGAAAATACAGAATGTGTGTCCCCCACCCAGCATTGCCCTCTGGTTCCACTCTACCAGTTTTCTAGAGTTCTGCTGGTTAAAGGATAGGATCCCAAGGGAACAGGCAGCCCCACAGAGAGCAACAGTTTAAAACCACTAAAGTATCCTTACTCCCCCAAAAGCCACTGAAATATGCTTCCTCCCCCCCTTAATGTAAACTCCCAAATTAATCATGTCAGAATTTATATGAGGAAGGTTTCTAATTTAGGAAAGAAAGAAAAGAAAGTCTGTAATATACCTACCCAATATCATTGTCTTGTTCTGCTCTGAGCATGGCAAACCACTGCTGTTTGTAAACAGAGGACAGCCATTCTAAAATTGAAAAAAAAATAAATAAGCTTGTTGTCTTTGCTGCTGGGAGTGGGGATGGTCATAAACATTTGAAATAGAGGAATAAAATGACATTAAAATAATGAAGTTACACTTGTTAGCTGGATGGTCTAAGCAACCAACCCCCTGATAGCTCCCTGTGTTCTCCAGCTCCAGCCTCAACCACAGGAGAAGGGATACAGAGAAACATCCACAACCAACAGGCAGGAACTCCACGCTATGCTCATCTCCTCAAACATTCACCACTTCAAAAAGTGATGCAACTCAACACGTTTTCTCAGCACACAAAGCTCTGTTCAGCCAAGGAGCTTGTTAACAACCCCTTGGGAGAAGATGCTGCTTTCTGAATCCCCAGTGGAATTTTACACAAGTTACACAAGAAGAAAACAGAATCAAGGATAAAGGAAACAGTGACTTAGCACAGATATAGTAAAACAAATAGAAATTGTGCCCTGCTAGGAATAAACACAACTCATGTCTTCCTTGGAGAACACACAAAGATTTTATCAGTTCTGTTAATTTAATGTTGCAACGAGAGATAAAACAGAACAAACCCAAACAGTTTGTCAGGCAGTTACACAGAGGGGATCCCAGGCACCAAGAGCACAGGGTGCAAGAAGTTCTCAGTTGAGATAATGAACAGGGGCAAGGTCATGGATGAGAACCAGCACTGGGGGAATGGGCTGGGTGAGAGGAAGAAGAACCACTGGGACTACAACCAAAGCAGGAGCTGATGGAGGGGACAGAAGGGAGGAGGGGTGAGATCACATGGCTGAGATCAACTTACAGCTCCCAGAAGGAAAAATTAAAACCAGCCCTTGTCCTACTGACTCTAGAGTGAGAATTCAGACTGTGACAGGAGCAAACTGGGAATTCATCGAAGTACAACAAAGTGTACAAATGAATTAAGGACAATTGCGCAGGGAAGGGTCATAGAATGGATGTGTCAGAAGGGAAGGAATAAAAGCAAATCAGGAGGGAGAGCATCTTCTCTATTTGTTTATGTGTATGTATTCATACCTCATATTTCAACTGCAGTTCATCTGTTAATTTCTAGACATTAAGAAGGAAAGCACAGCTTAGGAAATGTTCAGAAGTCACCAAGTAAAACAGAACAATGAACACTGTGCTCACACAGACACATTATGTACTTCTGCCTCTTGCACCTTTCCTGCCCAAAGAACAGTCTTGTGAACTCCTAACACAGAATTTCAGTTTTCTCCTGCAGGCCCTACACACACAGAGGGTATAAAAGTGAATAAATAAATAATCACAGCATTACTTTCAACTACTCAGTGTGATTTCCTTCTTTACCTCGAGAGGAATTTCATCCAGAATTATCTAAAAGGCTTCCACCAGAACACAAGGTCCCCAGCAAAGTCCCCCTTCTGCAGACTCTAGCTATGAAGCATCCCCTCAAATGCTGGATGCTGGCAGTCTGTCCCAAAGCGAGCCCCAGGATTTATCTAAACCTCCTTGCAAAGGAAGAGCAACAGTTTTGATTGAACACAGTTTTTGGCTGCACACTGGAATGAAGAGATTACAAGGGCTGGTGAGTCCAAAGCTCTGGGATCCTCCTGGCACAGGAGTTGCTCCTCCTTCCCCTGTGCCACAGTGCCACCCAGCCACGGCAGGGCACTGCACCAGCACTGCTCTGCACACCCTGGCAGCCGGGACACAACTCCTCCTGCTGCTTCCACCAGCACCAGCAAATCAGCCTCAGAGCTGCAGTCAGTCCTGCCAGAATCCTTCCTCTGACACACACAGGAAAAGGCTTCTGGGTTTGAGAACTGACACAACATTTGCTCCCTGAAGAACAGCAAGGGAAGGCTGCCCAGCCCAGCCCAGCCCAGAGCTGGGCAGTGAGAACCACAGAAACGGTAAGAGAGGCAATCAAGTGCAGCTCCTGCAAATTGCTGATTTGCAACATTTTATTCACATGCTGACAAAGGCACTTCATAACAGTGCGTTGTTCTCCTCTATCATCATTAAATTAAGGATCTAAAGGGTCATTAACCCAAAGTTATTCTTTATAGTGACTTTTGCACTGTGCCTATAACCTTTACCAATATCACTCTGAAGTAAGATGGATTCTATTTACTTTATACATCACTTGATCATGTAAAATATCACATATCAAAGATCAGAGCTGTTCTTTGGGGATTTTTATGCATAACAAAATGTTATCACTTGCTGGAGGTCAAGCAAGTGTGCTCTGGGCACACCAGAGCAGACCACTCCCACCTGTGTGGAAGTGCTGCCTCCCCCTGATGCTCAAACAACACCCTGAGAGGGGCATTTTGAGCACAGGACAACAGAGTTCCTTCCTCTTCTACTTCATAAGACCCAGTGCAGAAAACAGTCTCTTCTCCAGCTATTAAGGCACTAATTTAAAGCAGAACTGGAAGGAGGGAAAGCCAGTCCCTTTGAGCAGTAACTTCATTTTCACTCAAGAGATGGGCAGATTTCTGGGGAGGAAAGGCCCTGCTCCCTCCCCACAGGCACAGAGAGCCCTAATCCAGCTTCTGAGAACATCTTTCCAACATTTCAAAGGGGCAGAGAGAGGAGCTCAGGGTTGGTCAGACATTCAGCCACAAAGAGTGATTAAGTCATTGTTGCTGGCAGAGACAGGACATGGCAGCACAGGAAAGGCAAACTGAAGTGACCCTACACCAGCTCAATGGCAAGGAAAGCCTCTCAGGAGGATCTAACAATTCCACCAGGCTTCAAAGGAAACATCCCAACTCAGCATCACAGCATCATGATGACATCTACAGCAGCATGAAGGGAAAAGCCAACATGAGATGAAAAAAAATTAACTTTATAGCAGCATAATTCAAAGACAGGTTAAACATCTACATAAGGCAGGGCTCCACTGTGACCCCCAATGCTGCAGGAGTGGACTTATCTACTTCATATCTCAAGTATGGAGAGGTGACAAGAACACACTGTCAAGAAATTACAAATAAAAGTGATGAACAGCTCAATAAATTCAGTTTTAATTGGCATGTGGTTATTACACCCACACACAGACATCACAGACACACATGAATGGAGAGCTATATTTTTTTAAACCCATGTCAAACTCTGTATGAGACAGCCAGGAGAAAACTGGCAGAGTTAAGATGCAAAAATCATTGCAAGGATTCAGCTCTGACAAGGGAACTCTGACCAGAGGGAAATGTGAACAAGGACACCAGGAGCCAAATTCAAAGGGGGAGCACGAGAGTTCCAAACACTTACAAGGAGCACAACTGACCTGGCTGAGAGAAGGGAGAAAAAAAGAAAAGGGAAGAAGAAGGAGGGGCATGATAAGAGAGAGGAATGATAGTGGGAAAACATTTTCAAGTGAGAGCCCAGCTTGATAACCCATTTTCAGCCTTATTCATCCAAGAGCAGCCAGGTTCACACAGCTGCTGAGCAGGGAACAGAGATCTGGGCACTCAGATTTCAGCAGCAAGATGAGAAGGGACTTTTCATTTTCCAGTGATACTGTGATGTAACAGCAGCAATCTCCAATAACATGAGCATTTCCCTCTCTGGGCTTCAAAAAGCACACAGCCCTAGAAGGGGGATGTATTTTATACAAGTCAAAGTGCAAATAAAACGTCAAGAGCAATATATTTGAATATCCTCTCTGCCCCAAATTATCCTAAATCTGTCAGTAAACATCACTTGTTCTGGAAGAGAGAAGAAGAGTTCAGAGCAACTTGTGTTTTTGGTCTTCATTTTCAGGTATTGTTCCAAATCCTATCAAAACCTACTCAGCTCTTCTTAGAAAGTAATGGCTAGAAAACAGTCGAGTCTCAGGAAGTTTTGCTCTCTCAAAAGCAAAAGACCTTTTTTGCATCTCTGGGACTGTGAGATCATTTAAACTTTGATAGTGTATTGACTGCAGAGTACTGTGATAATCTGACTGATCAGCAGAATGCTTTTATGCCTATAATCTTCATACTCATCTTCAGCTGAATCTCCAGCCACAAACAGATGTTGGAAGGAAACACGTGAGCAGTAAGACAAAAAAACACACTGAGCCCTTCCCAGTGACCCCAGGGCAGGACAGGCTGGGGAAGGCACACAGAATGGGATCAGCTCAGTAGAATCATGGAATGGTTTGGGTTGGAAAAGCCCTCTGAGGTCACTGAGTCCAACCATTCCCCAGCACCGCCACAGCCACCACTGACCATGTCCCCAAGTGTCACATCCACATGGCTTTTAAACCCCCCAGGGATGGGGACTCCACCACTGCCCTGGGCAGCTGTGCCAGGGCTGGGCAGCCCTTTCCATGAAGGAATTTCTCCAATATCCAGCCTGACCCTCCCCTGGCACAGCTGGAGGCCGTTCCCTCTCCTCCTGTCCCTTGTTCCCTGGGAGCAGAGCCCGACCCCCCCCCCAGCTCCCCCCTCCTGTCAGGGGGTTACAGAGCCAGAAGGTCCCCCCTGAGCCTCCTTTGCTCCAGGCTGAGCCCCCCCAGCTCCCTCAGCTGCTCCTGCTGCTCCAGCCCCTTCCCAGCTCCCTTCCCTTCCCTGCACACCTCCAGCCCCTCCATGTCCTTCTGGGGGTGAGGTGTCCCAAACCCACCCCAGGAGCTGAGGAGAGGCCTCAGGCTGTGCCCAGCACTCACTCACCTGAGGGCAGCAGGGCATCTCTCTCCACGATCCTGGCTGAGGCCAGGTCACTGATGATGTACTGCAGCCTCAGGTGGGAGAACACGGGCAGGAATGCACTTCCCTGGGCTGATTCCAGGAAAGCAACATCACCCCCAAACTCTGCAACACAGAGCACCTGCATCACAACTTGTTCTCCCCGATATTTGCCAGCCCCTATTTATATTTGAGTTTTTACTTGTTGATCAGAGATCGATATTATGGGCAGGTGAGTCACCACTGCCACTAAAACTAAGAAATTACTTGCATTCAAACCCCAAACCAAGGCCAGGCAGCTCCTCCTACCTCTCCTGCGCTCGGCAAACCAGGCATCAGCTTCAGCCAACACCTGCTTGAAAGACCCATTCCAAGAAGGCACGAGCTGGAGGAACATCCACTGGGAAAAACAAATAAATTCTAGTGAGTCAGTGGAAGAAGGTTTTAAATAAGTGATCCATGCATCAATAAGAGATATTTCCATAGTGCATTCATTCCTATAGAGGTTCTGATACTCTGTTAAATACTTTCACTCAATCCCACAAAGGTTCCACTGCCTCAAGCCCCAGCAGCCCCTTGGGAAGTACCTTTTTGAGAGCAGTGTACACGTCCATTTCCACCTGCAGCACAAACAGGTTGGAGGAACTGATCAGCTGCTTCATAAGGTTTATGCTGAAAAAAATCAACCATAACAGGTCAGTGAGACAGAAGAGAGAAAAGGAAGAAGGGCAGACAGGGAACAACCAACCAGCAACAGCCCAGAAAACGATTTGCAGTGAGCTCTAGACTTGGGCAGGGATTGTCCTTCATCCCTGTGGGGGAAGTGCAGCCCCAGTACCTGAGTTCTTTGAAGAGTCCAATGCTCTGGTGGGTCATCAGGTTGTTCAAGAGCCACTCAAGGCACCTGTATGGAAAGCAAGGAATTAAGACCTTTGCTTGTTTTTCCTCTATGTCAACACTCCTGCAACAGGTGCTCAGGCTCACAAAGCCTGATGCTGCCCCACAGGACTGGGAAATGGTGCCTTAACCCAAGCCAGAAATGCATAAAAATATAAAAAAGAGTTCTTTCAAACACTGGGAGTTTGCCAGGAAATTTTCTGAAGCTCTTATTAAAGGTGCATTGAGTTTCTCCAAGGGCACAGCACAAGCAGAATTCCAAGGACTGTCAATGCCACGCAGAGCTCTGAGAACACACTGAGTCCCAGCACAAGGAAGCTGGTGAGAGCTCTCAGCATTCTGCTCCCAAATGTGGCATTAGCCCTCCTCATTTCAAGTTCAGCTTGAACTCTGCATATTAAAGCCATTTTTTGATGAAACAGCCTGTGATCATGTGTTACTTCACTACCACACTCAAGACCAAACATACTGTCCCTACTACTGTAATTCCCTCAGTCACAGCACAGGCCAATCAACCTGCCACAATCTGCACGGATTTTAAGGGAGTTGATGACAGTAGAACCTCAACAACAGGATGAGCAAAGCCAAAATTGGGCAGCTGTCAAAGGATTAGGAGGGCCAAAGCCCAACAAGAACTTGATTTAGCCACTACAGTTAAAGACAACACAAAAGTTTCTACAAATACACTGCAAAAGGAAGGTCAAGGAGTGTCTCCATCATTTGTTCAGTGCAGAGGGTGATGCAGTGACAGGGGACAAGGAATAGGCTGAGGTACTCAGTGTCTTCTTTGCCTTGGTCTTTAATATCAAGATCAGTTGTCCTGAGGATATTCAGCCTCCAGAGCTGGAAGTGAGGGATGGGGAGCTGAGTGAAGGCCCTGTAATCCAGGAGGAGATGGGCAGTGACCAGTCCATGCACCCCAGAGCATTGAGGGGACTGGCAGAAGAACTTGCCATACCACTCTCAACCATCTACCAGCAGTCCTGGTGAACTGGAGAAGTTCCAGCTGACTGGAAAGCAGCAAATGTAACACCCATCTACGAGAAGGGTCAGGAGAACGATGCAGGGAATTCCAGGCCTGTCAGCCTGACCTTGGTTCCAGGCAAGGTTGTGGATGGGATCCAGAGTGCCATCACACGGCACAGGCAGGAAGGACAGCCTGGCCCAGCCAATGTGGATTCACGAAAGGCAGGTCCTGCCTGACCAACCTGATCTCCTTCTCTGACAAAGTGACCCGCCCAGCAGATGAGGGGAAGGCTGTGGATGTGTCTGTCCAGACTTCAGTGAAGTGTCTGACACCATCTCCCACAGCATCTCCCGGACAAACCGGCTGCTCATGGCTGGGATGGGTGGACTCTTGGATGGGCAACAAGCCGGCTGATGGCCAGGCCCAGAGAGCTGTGGGGAAGGGACATAAATCCAGATGGGGCCCATCAGCAGCAGCGTCCCCAGGGCTGGTTGGGGGTCAGTCCTGTTTCCCACCTTTATGGATCTGGATGAGGGGGTCACCTGTGCTCTCAGGACACCTGCAGACAACATCAGGGTGGGTGGCAGTGTGGATCTGCTGGAGGGCAGGAGGGCTCTGCAGACAGGCCTGGGCAGACCCCATCAATGGGCCAAGGACAACAATGGCACGAGGTTCAACAAGGCCAAGTGTCCTGCACTTGGGTCACAGCAACCCCTGCAGCTCCAGGCTGGGGGAGGAGTGGCTCGAGAGCTGCTCAGCAGGAAGGGACTTGGGGGTGCTGCTTGACAGCCAGCTCAGTATGAGCCAACAGTGAGGCCAAGTGGCCAAGAAGGCCAATGGATCCTGGCCTGTATCAGGAACAGGGTGGAGCAGGAGCAGGGCAGTGATTGTCCCCTGTGCCCAGCAGGGGGGAGGTCACACCTTGAGTGCTGCCTGCAGGTCTGGCCCCACTTCCAAAGGAACACTGAGGTGCTGCAGCATGGGCAGCAATGGGCACCAGGGCTCTGAGGGACCCAGGAAACACATCTGCTGGGGAGCAGCTGAGGGAGCTGGGCTTGCTTAGTCTCAGGAAGAGGAGACTTGGGGTAACCTCATCGCTCACAACTCCCTGACAGGAGGTTGTAGAGAGGTGGGGACTGCTCTTCTCTGCTGTGCCTGCAGTGAGAGGGCCCGAGGAAATGGCCTCAAGCTGAGACAGAAGAGATTCAGATCAGATTTTTCCACTGTTTGGGTGGTCAGGCACTGGAATGTGCTGCCCACGCAGGTGGTGGAGTCACCATCCCTGGAATTAAGAGGTGTATGGATCTGGCACTGGGTGATAAGGTTTTAGGGGTTAAAGTGGCAGTGCTGGTTGGACAGCTGGACTGGATGATCTTAAAGGTCCCTTCCAACCTTCATGATTCTATGATTCTATTCTAATAAAACAATTAACCTGGGCATTATTGTACTGTGTGTAAACTCACTGATCATTAGCCATGTCCAAAGCAGCTCAGAGACAGGAATTCTTACTTTTTCTTCACGGAGTCCAGCCCGTACGTCCCCGCGGAGTTGTAGTACCCACACACGGTCTGGGAGGTGATGGTTTCCTTCATTGTTTCACCACACTGCTGGATTAAGCCATCCTGCAGGGAGGCAAAAAACCCACAGGCATTCTGAGTGTTTATTTCCCAGCAGGAAATGTCAGGCACTGTGCAGGTCATGCGGATTTTCCTGCCTGAGCCACCCCCAGAGTCCCCCAGGCTGCAGTGACCTGTGCTACGCTGCCCAAAACATTTCAACCATTGCTCCCCAGAAACACAGACTTGCCTGAAGAGTATTTCCCACGAAGGAGAAGCGTGATGAATGCCTTCAGGGTAGAGCAAACGAGCCGCAAAACCTATTTTAATCTACTTTTAGATATGACTCAAAGCAGCACTTAATCTTACACCTGAATCTTAGCCACAGCACTTTCCAACAAACCCTCTGCGTCGTGTTTAGGTTTTTTCCCACTAAGCCTGAAAAGCCGATTCATTTCTCTGGGTGAAACAGGACATGCTGGCGAGGATTTTATGAACTGTTGTGCCTCTCTTCAGGCAGAGACAGAGATCCTGGCACTCCTGACTTACCAGCTGCAGCATGCAGGCTGCTGCCAGCAGGGCCACCACGCGGCTGGGGTTGATCAGCACGTCGTCTCTGTACAGGGAGCCAAAGGCCACCTGCAGGGCTGCACAGGGAACAGGAGCCAAACAGAGACAGAGCAGTGAGCACGGGGCATCAAAAGAGTCCTGAACTATAACCAAACCTCTTCCCTGCACACCTTCTCTGTGATCTCGGCTGCTCTGGACAAACAGCCAGGGCTGACCAGCCCAGAGCCCCCGACAGAACACACGAGCTGTGGCAGTGCCCAGCCCAGCACTGAGCTTCCACCAGTTAAACAAACCCTGCAGCACACCCTGAGAGCTGTAAAACAGAGAAATACAAGTGCCACCTCTGAGGATCATGAGGTTTAACTTAACCCCTGCCCTCAAGGGCTTTGTTAAAATAAGAGGTTCCCACTTACCTTCTACATCAATATTTTGGTCAGGAATCTCCAACTCTATGACGTTCATGCTGGATTCTTTCCAAGAGCCACTGAACATACTGGAAAAGTAGCCTGACTGTAGGAGGGAAGAGGAGAGAAAAAGAACTCGACTAAGAGATTTCATCCCAAATAGCCAAAAGCAGCACATGGAACAAAACATGGTTAATATTTACCTTTATGTAGAACAAACTGTGTTAAGGGAACTTTCACAAGCTTAAACATTCTGACAGATTCAAAAGGGGCCAACTGTATTTGCTGTTTCTGACACTGAAAACGCCTACAGGAAATTTGGGCTACATGTGTGTGACCGAAAAAAAGAGCTTTAAAAGGCCAGAAAAGCCACAGAAGCTCTTTTCCTACAAACCACACCACCAGTGGGGGCAGAATTAGTCCAAGAACTAAGTCCTTGATGTTACCAGCAGACAACAAATCCTGCAGACATTAGGGAATGCCAGTTTGGGGACTGGGGAAAAATAAAAGAAAGGCATGCAAGACATACAAATTACTGTACAAGGCTGTAGTCTCATACCAAGGACACAGACACATACACCATTTACAGCAATATACCTTTTATTATTAAGTGTAAGGCACATAAAACTAGAATTTGAGAGGTTTCCATCCAAATGAAGGGAAAGATAATGCTCTACTAGGGTTCCTGATTTTCCTTCCCAGCAGCAGATGTGCCCATTATGAGATGCTATCAATGAAGTTTACCTGAGAGATCAAAAAAATAAAGTCTATTTGTACCACATTCCCTGACCTCTTCACTCAGCATTTCAGCCCAAGGCAGCAAATAACACAAGCCCCAGTTTTGATTTATTTTGATGAGGTCAGTATTTCTGTACCCTTAGTGCATCCCTAACCATGGCACACAACACACTCCTCTCAAACCCAGGACCTCACTAACCACACCCTCCTCACGAGGCTGCCTCAGCTTTGCCATGGAGATCACTCCCCATTTGCATAAGAATTTATAATTTTAGTAACAGCATCAGAGAACAGAAATCCCCCATTTCTCAGAGCTGCTGTGAACAGTCAGAGCAGCACCTGACTGTCCTTTATTCGGCTCAAGGCAGTGACTGAGGGACCAGGGGAGCTGAAACAGGCTCAGAAAGGCTGCTCAGCAGTTCAGAGTCACAACGGCATTAAAAGAGTCGTTTCCATGCAGTTATTTCTAACCTCCAAAACTATTTTACCCACAGTAACATAATTCCAACGCTGGAGTGTGACCTGAAACAGGACCTGCCTGATGAGAACACTGAACTCCCCTGAGGTTCCTCTCCCAAAAAACACCACTCTTACAGTGAGGCCCCTGCAGAGCAAAGTCACAGTTTTCAAACCCTGCCATACAGCTGCATCCACAGGAGGATTTAACACTCAACTTCAGTCACCAACCCAGGCAAAGGTTTCAGGAGCAAACTTGACAGACAGTACCCACAGTCACAGTGACAGAACACACCAGCAGCACCAGCAGCCTGAGCCACACCAGTGCTGTGCCCATCCACGGGGCAGAGGGGGCTGTGCCTGCCAGCTCTGCTCCTGCCACAGCCTGTGACACAGGAGCTGTGACACAGAGGACACAGCAAAGCCAACCTCTGTGCTCCCCAAGCACGAGCACAGAGCACTGCACCTGAACCAGCCCCAAAGGAAAGGTCTGTACACACAGAGGGGGTTTGAGGCACAAGCACAGAGCACTGCACCTGAACCAGCCCCAAAGGAAAGGTCTGTACACACAGAGGGGGTCTGAGGCACAAGCACAGAGCACTGCACCTGAACCAGCCCCAAAGGAAAGGTCTGTACACACAGAGGGGGGTTGGGCAGGTCCTCACTGAGATTTACTCCTTCCTAGAGCTCCTGTGCAAACCTTCCTCAGGCAGCTGCAAGAAATCCTTCCTGAGGGCTCCTACCAACCAATACCAAGCACAGAGAGCCAGCACCACCAATGTCCCTGCAGGTCCCTGCCCCCGAGCCCAGGGGACAGGAACACTGAACTGGGGCACCACAGGCTCTACAAATCCCGCCTGGAAGTGCCTCCTGTGCCCTGACAGAATGTTCACACCACAAGAGCCACTCAGCCACCTGTTCAGCAAACAGGAACACGTTCTCAGGACATCAAAGACACATTTCAGGACTGTTTTCACAGAGGATGCACCGAGACTAAGAATGAAATAAATTAAATAGAATAAAAAAAATTACACAGGAAGAGAGAGAAGCTTTTCAAACACAAAGATGCAGCTCTGCTTCCCAACACTGCTAACAGGAGCTGGTTAACTGTTTGCATCTACAAAAAGAGTGAAAGTCCCAAATAAAAGGGGAAAAAAAAAAAGGATAAATCTCCAGTCACACTTCACAGTTCCCAGACATTATTTTACTAAAAGCACAGTTCCTACTGGGATTTAGAAAGGAGCCACTTACCTGACACAAATAAATCTTGTGCAAGTTCCACTCCTCTCCCAGAGCACAGATTTTGACATCACTGTTCTCCCCATTCAAAAACAGAGTCTGATAAATGTATTTCGATGTGCTTTTCAGTTTTTTCCTAGTAAAAAAACCCAAACCAAACAAACAGTGAGACACTCCTTCCAGTTGTCCCATTACAGCAGCTGCAGTGGGTCTCAAGCCCAGGATTTTCCCTGCCACGTCCTCCCCAGGCTGGCACCACTTCCCCACTCCCTGCCTGTGCCACTATTTGCCCAAAATTTGCTGAAATAGTGTGAAATTGAACCAAATCGGCCCCAAAAGGAGATAAAATTGGCCCTAAATCCCCCTGGAAATCCAGAATTACCCAGAATTCCAAGGTATTCTCAAAATATTCTCCAAATTTCATCAAATTAGGAAAAGTGATGAAATTTAGGGGAATTAGAAGCAGAAATGAGGAGATTTTGGTGAAAATGCGAACACCTGGGGAAAATTCTGAGAGAAGGGGGCAATTTGAGGAAAAATCAGGGGAATTTAGGGGAAAATGGAAAAATTTGAGCAAAAATGGGGAAAATTGGGCCAAAGAGGGGGAAGTTTGGGGCACATTTGGGAAAATGGGGAAGCTTGGGGAAATTCATAAAATTGGGTACATTTGGGGGAAATCATAGGAATTCTGGATAAAAATGTGGAAGTTTTGGTAAACTTTGGGGGAGAATTTGGAGAATTTGGGGGAATTGGTGAAATTTCAGGGAAATGTTGGGAAATTTGGGAAAAATTAGAGTAAATATAAAGAAACCTGAGAAAATTTGGAAAATCGATGAAATTTGAGGCAAAAATGGGGGAACATTTTGGGGAAATTTGAAGGGAAACAGAGAAATAAGAGTCAAAATGAGGAAACCGGGAAAATCTGGGAAAACTGCTGGTGCTGGGACATCCCCCGAGCACCCCAGACCCCAAAGAGTGGCCTGACCCCCAAAACTCTCACTGCCAGCCTTGGGATAATTAGTCACAACTTAATTTACCACGAAAGAGCTGCCTGTCTTGATGCACAGTGTTTAAATTATACTGACTCAATTGCAGAACCCCTACATGTAAATATCTTTTTTTTTTTAATGAAAATCACGTGGATGTATTGGAAAAGAAAATATCATTAACCAGCAGATTACTGGAATACTAATTAATAAGAAAACCGTGTAACTCGTAGCCAATGAGCTCTAATTCCTCTTTCTGCTAGAACGTATAAACAGTAAGAAGTTCCATAGCTGTTGTGCTTTGTGGGGCTCCAGCGAGCAGCCGGGGCAGCACAGCTGAGATAAACCATTCACGGAGTGTCATCCCCGGACTCAGCGGGGACCAGCCCCCTTCTCTGGGGGCAGCGGGGCCCGGAGCCCCCCCAGCTCCGGCAAAACAAACAAACAAACAAACCCCCCCCCCCAAACCCTCAAAAAACCTAATTCTGGACACGACAAATTCAAAACCTAAACCAGAAAACCTCAATAACCCTTCCCGAGGGGGGCCCGCGGTGCCCCCCGAGCTGCCCCCCCGGCCCCGCTGCCCCGTCCCGCCCGGGGTCACCGCGGCCCCCAGACCTGCGGCCCCGGGGGTGTAGCAGCCGCTCGTCCCGCTCGGTGTCGCCGTCGCTGTCGCTGTCCCCGGGCCCCTCGGCGGCCCCGCCGCGCTTCCTCTTGCCGTTCCTGCCGGCCCTGCCCGCGGCCGCCGCCGCCTCGCCCCGCGGGACGGGCCCCCTCCGCCGCAGGACGCGGCTGCCCAGGGCGCCCATGGCCGGCCCGGCCCCGCCGCCTCATGAGGCCGCGCCGAGCGGGCCCGGAGCGGGAGCGGGGCCGGAGCGGGAGCGGGCCCGGAGCGGGAGCGGGGCCGGAGCGGGAGCGGGGCCGGAGCGGGAGCGGGGCCGGAGCGGGAGCGGGGCCGGAGCGGGAGCGGGCCCGGAGCGGGAGCGGCACCTCAGCCCCGGCCGGCGGCGGCCGCGGCCTCTGCGCCTGCGCGGCAGAACCGCCCCGGATGGGCTTCCGGGGACCGGGGAACATTTCCTGCCCCGGGAACGGGCCTTTTCCTGCCCCTGAGCGGGGCTGTTCCCGAGCCAGGAACGGGCCTTTCTGTGCCCCGGGAACGGGCCTTTCTGTGCCCCTGAGCGGGGCTGTTCCCCAGCCAGGAACGGGCCTTTCTGTGCTCCGGGAATGGGCTTTTTCCCGCCCCAGGAACGGGCCTTTTCCCGCCCCGGGAACGGGCCTTTTCCCGCCCCGGGAACGGGGCTTTTCCTGCCCCTGAGCGGGCCTTTTCCTGACTCTGAACGGGCCTTTTCCCACTCCAGGAACGGGCCTTTCTGTGCCCCAGGAACGGGCCTTTTCCCGCCCCTAGAACGGGCCTTTTCCTGCCCCACAAACAGGCCCTTCTTGCTCCATGAGTGGGTCTTTCCTGACCTGGGAACAGGCCTTTTCCTGCCCCTTGAATGGGAATTTTCCTGCTCCGTGAATGGCCCATCCTGGGGGGTTTCCAGGGATCAGACTCTTCCCACCGTGTGGGTTTGTTCAGCCCTGCAATGCCCCAGCACTGCGTGTCTGCAGCTGCCAGAGCTCAGAGCACTGCGGGATCCCGGTGTCTCAAAGAATGGGATTCTTCACCGCCTTTGCAACGCTCCAGGAATGACACACTCAAGAGGGACGTTTATTCATGTCAGAGCTGCACAAGCCTGGGTGATCACTGGAGTTCCACAAATCAAGCACACCAACTATTGAAACTTTATTATTTATACATTTTAGCAAACAAAGGAACTAGTGTTCATTGGCTACCAGTTACATAGTTTTCTTATTAATTAGTATTCTGTCTTCTGTTCATTAATGATCTGCTTCTCACACTAGTTAGTCTGCATGCCCGACCTTCTCTTCCTTTGGGTCGGGGGGTTTCTTGGCTTGGTGGTTGTGATCTGCTCCTGCTGGAATCACCTTTGAGCAGCTGGAGATGATTTCAGCCCAGTTGCTGAGTTGGGTTTATCAGCTTCTTCCTTACCTTAGGAGTCCTGCCAGATGTCTCCGTGGCCTGTAAATTCTGCATTCCTTGTGCCCACTGTCAGAGGTACACCCTTCTTTCCAAGCTCAGTTAGACTCCCCCTCGGCCTGGGATCACTGGAGCATGTCCAGCCCTAAACCTTAACGGCAATTCTACCAGCAAGTAATTTGTTTTTCTAACACCTGCACAGCACTTAGAGCTTGTTTGTTGGCTGCTGTTTAATGGATTAAATCTCCCTTGTTGATTAGGCTGGAATGTGTACAAGGATCAAACATCAAAGACCATCCTTTCTTAAGAAAATTTTTACGTATTCCACATTTTGCAAGTATTTAAGACTGCATCTTCTCACTAAACTCCCTTGTTTCATGGCAAACCAGGGGCCTCTTGGGCTCCAGCAAGTCCAGTCCCTATTCCTGCAACAACAGAACAGGGAGCCACCCCCTGGAGTGCCGAGGTTACAGTCTCATCCTCGGGCCCTGAGCAACACTATATCCTGGGGTTTCTGACCTCCTGTGGGAAGGGGGTGGAAGCCAGAGCAGGAGGTCACCCGGTATCAGCAGGGGCAGTGAGCTGAACACAAGGAACCCCCTGCAGCTGCTCTGTGATCACGCTACAGACCGAGGGCGTTTCTCTGCTGGCACTTCCAAAACCTCTGTGCTATTCCCACTCCCACAGCTCTGGGTGCCCACCATGGAACTGAACATCGGTCCTGCAGAGAACCATCTACCTGCTCCACTGACAACATCACCCTCTTTTAGAGAGTCTGTCAAGGTCACCTTCCAGCAGCTTCTCTGCATTCCTGCACTTCAGTAGAGACCTTGGAAATACATCATCTTCCAAAGGGTAAAATCAGGCCCTGGGCAGTGGAAGTCCCAGCAGTGCTGGGAGTGTGATGGCCAGAGAGCCTCAGGAATAGTCAGACTGGGAAGTTTCCTTAACAGTTTGGTGATCCAGATGGGACCCTGGGCCACCACGTCCGGAGCCTCCCGTCTCCAAACATCCAGCTGCCAGCACTGGGTGGATTCCCCTGGGAACTTTGGAACAGGCAGAAGCAAAAGGGTCACCATTAAAATCCCCTGAGCAGATTCTGTATAAATGATTAGGGTAGATTTGAGCCTCTCCTCGTGCTGATTGGGTGAAATCATTGGCAGTGTGTTGAGAATGGACCTGCATGAGGAGCACATGGAGGGGATGTGGTGCCCCCAAAGCAGGAGGGCTCCCGGGGGGAGCAGCAGGAGCACCAGCCCGAGCTGGGGGTGCTGGGCTGCCCCCTCAAACCCACCCTCCACAGCGGGGATCCCCCAGTGGGGGTTTATAAACCGTCCCCACCCAAGGGACAGTGCCCCGGGCCCCCCACCCCGCCCTGCAGGGTCCTGTGGAGGGAAAGAGGCACCTGAGGAGCGCAGGAGTCCAGGGCAGGAAGTACAGAAACAAATTCTTTATTCATTTTTCAAAGCTCAGCAACCTGACACAAGGCACTGGAACCCACCCCCTGCCCAAGCAGCTCTGGCAGCCCCTGTGCTGGGCACAGACCTTTCCCTGTCCTGAGCAGAGGCCTTGGGAGAACTGGATAAAGCTCTGCCTCCTCTCCCAGCAAAAGTCAGGAATGTGTCTCCACTGGCAGCCCAAGGAGTGAGAAAGAAAATTATTTTATTGAAGGCCACAGAGGCATCTCCTATTCCAGCCAGCAGCAGCCTATTTCAGAGGAAAATGAGTGATGGAATTGGGTGCAGCCACTTCAGTGTTTCAGCTGTGACATTCCAGCCTCAGTCTGATCCTTCAGAACAGAATTATTCACCAGCAGTAAAAAATAAGTTGCTAAGCCAAAGAAGAACCCCATCTTTGTAGTAAAACAGCACTCAGGTGAACAGGAAGGTGTGGAGGGTCTGGGGAAAATAGCTTTGCCAGAGGTTGGTGTGGAAACCCAGGAGAGACCCAGGCACAAACACCTCCATGATCCCGTGACATGGGGCTGGCACGTGGGAGAGTCTGGGGGGATGTCCCAGGGACACTGGGGAGCTGCCCCTGGGACATCTGGGGAGCAGCCCCAGGGAGAGTTGGAGAGAGCTGCCCCAGCACCAGGCCATGAGGTGGGATTTTGGGGACAGGTCATTCCCTAAAAGGCACCATTCCAATGGTATCACTTTATCCAGAGGAGGGTTTGTAACATAACCATTATTATTTATACTCCCATGAGTGAAGAAGGCAGACCAAGAACATGGGGCTGCTCTAACCAGGGCAGCAAGAGGCTTTTCTGATGTCACCAGTGACATCTTCCCCATGAACAGATCTCTAGGCAACATAGACATACCCTGCAGCCAGGCTGTTAATGCTCCACACTAACAGAGGGCCAGTTAAGAGGTAAACATGCTTGTATTTTAGATATTCGGGTTCTTTGTGTCCTAATTATCTCGAAAAACTGAAGCAAGCCTGTGTTCTGCACTCTCCAGGTACTGATGGGTTAGATTTTCCCTGGGCAGCCTCTCACACTCTGCATCCAGGTTTGCTTCAGTTGACAAGTGTTGCTGGTGAACACAACAGCAAAGGGGCATCTGGGCAGGAAACAATTTAACTTTTATATCTTTGGTTACAGCATTCTGTTTAAGCTGGGCTTTACCAGCCCAATGAGTAGGCAAATGGGTGTGCCAAGCATAAAAGCAGATTGGCCATGGCCAACCAGAATGGCCATTATCAACCAGAGCATGAACTAACCTAAGGCAAAAATCAGAGCAATTAATAAGATATTTGGGAAAAAAATTACACGAAAGAAATAATTATTGGGCTGGATGATCTTAAAGATCTTTTCCAACCTAAACAATTCTATGATCAGCTGCTTCCCATCACCCAGACAGTCCCCTAGGCCTCCTTTAATCCTCCCCACCACAGAGTCTGAGCAGAACTTTCCTGTAGTCTCCTGAGCAATCTCCCTAGAGAGAGCAGAAAAAAGGAACACAATTAATTTCACAGCTCCATACGAGGCTGGACTCCTTCCAGCACACACGATTTGTCACAGGGCTTGAATCCTCTTCGACAATTTAATAACCAAGAACATTCAGGGACGTTTTCAGTACATAAATGTAAAGTCTCCTTAATTCCACCCCCTCTAAAACACCCCAGAGGTGCTGAGAGGGGACCTGTCTCCTGTGTTTCTGACACTGCAGGGCTCACCTTGATGAAGGAGTGGAGGGATTTCCCATACATGGCCAGGAACTCCCTGCGGATGTAGAGCATGTCCACCTCGGAGCGGGACACCATCACCCGGATCAGGGTGCTGTCATCTGTGCCCAGGCCCTGGGAAACACAACCACAGCTGCAGCTGCAAAGTGTTTGGGGCAGGTCACTGACAGACACAAAGGTTTGATCCCTTGGCTTTCTGCAGGATCTGTTCCTAATTAGAGCATTTTGGGATTAAGGCAGTGATCCACTACGAGCTCTGGCCTTCCTGAGGGAACAGAGGTCCATAGGAAAGCTCAGACTTCTTTCCCCCCCCAGTTAACACAAAGTTTCTCTTTCTTTAATGATTGCTGTGGTGCTACTGATTCAATCATGGAAAGGCAGGGGGAAAATACCAATCTCCCAGCAAAAGCTCTTTACCTTCATGGATTTGTACAATCTTTCAGCAAAATACGCAGGTTTATTCCGCATGCACTTCACTGGAAGGGAGACAAGAACAAGAGAAGTAAGGCAAATAAACACTGAAGGACAAGGTCTTCCAAACCCTTCCAGCACTTTCTCAGTGCAGGTGTTTATTCTGTA